CAGGATATGTAAGGATGACGTGACTGTTGTAAGAGTTTTCCCCTCTGTTCTCCACTGAGACAGTCACATCCAGGAGCTCATCGATGCCAACTTTAACCACCGAAGAGCTGAAAGAAAGATGAGAAGAGTAAACAAAACATCAACAAAACAGCTGAGAGCTTCACTTCTGTGTCTCTCACCTGGTGAAGTTAAAATCCACTTTCAGGTCGTCTGTACACTCCATATCAGCCCCACAGCTGATCTCAAAGGCAATCTATAGAAGCAAATATAGTAATGGTCACACTGTGAGAAGGTAGATTTATCATCTTGAACATGATTGGACTGCAGAGCTTCACATGGTTTCATTTGAAACAATAATAGTAAAAAAAAGTAGAGTCAAAAGTAAAGCTGCCATGTTGATGACTTGATAAATTGTGTGAAAAAGTTACTCACAGGATATAAGGTTGTAGTTTGAGCCTGCTGAGACAGACTGGGTCTAAGACTTGTGTTGGAAGAAAAACCATGAAAGATGAAACTCAGCTTATTCAAAAGAGGGTTGAGAGCATCGTCTGGGCAAGCCTGTCAGAGAACGGAAGGATCAAAAAAGGTGGGCTCTTCAGCCATGTTCAGTCTGAAATATTTACTTCAGATAAATTTGATATTATCACCACAAYAGAAAAATTCCCATCGATGCACTTCTGTCCGCTTAAATCAACAACAACTGATCCGGCTTGGTCTCTCGTATCCTTACTGATGTAAGCTCGGTTGTTTGGAGTTGAACGAGTTGCATCCAGAGTTAAAGTGTAATTAATCTGTGCTTGAACTGAAACAGACGTGTTTAAAAATAGATGTACACGCAAAGGCTCAAATGGCTCAGATGAATGAACATAAAATAAAAGAACCTGAATCTCTTCCAGACAGTCTTCTCATGGTGAAGCAGATTKTAGCTGTGCCTTCTAGTGGTTTTGCACAGTCTACATTTAGAGTWGGGATTTCATTTGGGCTGAAGGACACAGTGGCTTCCACCATCACTACTGGTCTGGATCTGGAAAGTGGCACATTTTTTTGATTTGTGGTCAAATAAAATAAATAAACAAACAAATAAATAAATATGAAACTTAAACGTGTTCTTGGCAACCATTTATGTTGTAAATTTACCCAATTAAAATGATTTAAGAGCAATGACCAGACTCTAACTTACCTGAGTAAGACAACTGCACCTTTTGAACCCACAACTAAGTCAGGCAGTGTGTCTCCACTCTGATCGTAGGACCACTGACTGATTGACAAACCAAAGAACTTYARTCCTGATTTGACTTCAGAGGCAGTGATTCTCTGTGAAATAGGAAATATCTTTCTTAATCAAGACTTMAATATAAAAATTACATGCAGAAAAGAAAAGAGAGTTGATGTATTTGGGTTTGCTCACCTGCGAGTAGGTAGGTTCAATTTGTCCTCCTCCTTTGCCCTGAATGATGTAGATAGACCCTTGTCCATCATTCTCCAAAGGAGCTCCGACAGCTAAATCATTAAATCCATCTGCATTTAGATCAGGCAGAACAGCAAGAGAAGACCCAAACCTCCCTTTATTGGATGGATCTCCTCGTAGTACTGTTAGTTGTGATGGAGAATCAAAGTGACACTCCACATTCTGTAAAATACAAAAGAGGATTTTTATTTTATGTATTTATTTTTTATTTAAAAAGTGTATACATTTCTTATTAAATCTATGAAGTGGGACTGATTGTGGTTGCCATTTACCAGCCGAGCTAAGGTGCAAACATAAACTCGTCCCTCTCTGTCTTGGTCCTTGTACATGGGAGCAGATATGAGGATCAGATCAGTGTAGCTATCAGAGTTCACATCCATGGCACAAACTTCTGCCCCAAAATATGCACCAGACTGAAACTATAAAAAGAGTTTAAAAAAAAGTTTAACAGAAAGAAAACATAATTTCAACAGTTTTGAATCATATCAAATGAAGCACTTTGAAAGTTTACCCCAGTTGTTTTGTGGACAATGGTAAGACGTTTAAATCAACGCTTAAAACTCATTTTTACTCATCTTTGGCCWTTCATTGTGGTAGAGTTTGAAATTCTTTTAAAGCCAATGTTTTATTGTATTTTTTTATTCTAAATTGAACTTATTTTAAAAACATTTTTGTGTTGCCTTGTTGGCTGAATTGTGAAACACTTTGGTCAACTCTTGTTGTTTTTATGTGCTGTACAAATAAATTGACATTTCTGAAATGAGGGCCCAGAATCAAAGCTTGAGTCACATGACTGATCTACAGTAGGTTGGTCGTGATCTGACAAGTAAACAAAAATGGCAGAATCAGACAAGCCTAGAACTTTTAGGATGAAACCCAAGAGAAACCCAAGAATGGCAATCAAGAAACAACGTCTGGAGCTTCTGGGAATAGGGTGTCCTTGTGGGGTGGGGGGTGGATTTCAGGAGATTTCTTACATCGTTGTCTTATTTAGTTTATGTGACAAATACATTAAAAAAATCAGTCACAGCTGTTTTTGTGGGAAAACAAATACACAGTCCACATTGAGTTATGAGTTTTGATTAAAGAAACATTAACCATCAATATGAGAATAATATTGTGCTGATTTTGTTTATGACTATATTACTTTGAATTTTACAAGTTTTGAAAAGTAATTTTGTTTAACCATTCCTCGCAATTTTGTAATAAATACCTTTATCACCACTGGTCTTAATTTAAAGACTTACCTGCCATGGATATGGGTCAATTTGCTGTTTGAATTGTTCTCCAAAAACAGTCATAACAGCTCCTATGTGATTGTATCTCGGAGCTCCAAGGATTGTCAGAGTGCCAGAGTCCGTTTGAGCCACAGCCATGGAATAACCTGAAATTTAGACTTCAGTGAAAATATGTATTTTTTCATGTGTTTAAGGACACTATGGTTAAACAAAATAAAATATCTACTCATGACCATGTATTTAACCCTTCTGTTCTGAGACTGCAGTTAGGGGAGCAGTAGAGTTTTTGCTGAAACACATACTTAGCCTGGTAAAAAYCAGCCCCTTGTTCTTCACTTAGTTTCATTCAGAGGGTCTGGAACCTCGGCTAYTGAGMAGTGATTTCTTGCTGGAGGYGTGGCCTCTGTTAAAGTTTAAAAYRATTGGATCTGAYTTGCTAACGTTTRGTYGKGACATMTGTAGTATGCCAGCTCRACTGTGAGGCTAAGCCAATAAGCTAACCCAAAATTGCRTACGCTGTAAACCATCCCCTACTGGGGAGAAGTACTGAGCCAAACAAAATAGTTGTAAATGAGTGCTGCAGGCTTTGTGAGACAACTTTAACTTAATTTGGAAGTCTTGTCRACACGGACYGGCTTCATTCATGTCCTCCACTGCCGTTGCTAAGCTTACAAGCAGACTAAAATGGACACACACAAAAATTCGACATTGTCGTTCAAAACTCCGCCTTTTGTTTGCTGATTGGCCCGGTTTAAATTCTACCAGAGAAATCCTTGTCYATGGGAGAAATCCCAGACGGAGCAGTGAAGGGAAACTAGAATCGAGCAGAACTGCATAGGAAGGCAAGGGCCAGGCTAATCCATACTGCCARTGGTGGGCAGCACTAATCTAAAAATTARTTCCTCTAGMCCTAAAACACAAATAYTTAGGTACCCTAATTCTAAAGCACTAAWGTACGGAAACMGAGAGCGGCCGTTTTCTGCAAGTAATTTTTTCCCATGKTTTTCTTGAGATAATGACATATTTTGTTATGTCGTGATAAWGAGTTAATTATGTCRTTATCACGAGATAACAGKGACCATTTTCTCTATAGATAAGGCAATTTCCAGATGGTTTTCCTCTTGTGTATCAATCAGTAACCATAGAGATGTCCTGGTCCCCTCGGCTGTTCATTGACAAAGTTCTATCTATCTATCTATCTATCTATCTATCTATCTATCTATCTATCTATCTA